TCCAAATTAGAGGGCTGGGCCTCTAGATGTGCAAGAAGGTTTCATTATTTTGAATAGGTTTGCCACCTGCTAAAAAAATCATAAGACTTACACCGTTCGCGCAATTTAAAAAAATGATATCATATGCCATATAAACGGGCTTGGTCTATAGATCTGCAAGAAAGAACCTCTAATTTTTTTAAAAAGAGTTGCCACCTGTTACACATTTTTTTTTATTGCAGAGAATCAGATTTACACCGTTCTCTCGAGTTTCAAAATGTGGTGTCAAATTAAAGGTATTCACCTATAGACGTGATTTGTTTTTTTTAATTAAAAATGCATTGTTTAAAATATGATAGTAAAATATCACAATATGGGTTTGAGATTAAATTAATATATCGGTGCCTTTCAATAGAGTTACTACTTATTAAACACATTTATAACTATGAATGGTAAGTCATGTATTAAGGGCATTCGATATTGCTATCAATCGAAAGCTAGTTAAGAGTTGTTAACTAGATGACAACTGTCGAAAATTCGCATACATTTATACAAAGGACATTTAACTAGCTGTCGTTTGATACCAATATCGATTGTCCTTAATACGTTACTTACCTTTCACAACTATATATTTTTTAATGGGTGGCAACTCTTAAAACCACTAACGTATTAATTTAGTATAAAAACCTCGCTATATGCCCATATTGCGATATTTTACTGAGTATCATATTTCAAGCAATAAATTTACAATTAGGTGGCAAATATTAAAAAAAAATTTAACATGAACATGAACATGAACATGAACATGAACATGAACATGAAGGTGTAGATAAACATAAACATAAACATAAACATTAAAAGCGATAGAGACAAAGATAGAGAGGAAGAAAGTGATAGGGGTAAAAAGGAAATACAACTGAAGAATGTGCGATGTTATATTGTGATGTGTTATGCTACATATGTTATGTTATTGAATCTAATGATATTCTATGTTATGTTATGCTAAGTACTAAGCTAAACTCCCCTCCACTTAACCCATTCCAACAAATTTTATTTCAGCTCAACTCAACTCACATAAACTATCCTTAATTTTAGCGGTTGAATTTCAACCGCTGGGCGAACACTAGTACATAGTAATACGTATTAAGATTTGATCTAACCCTGGTATTTGTTTATTAGGGAGTTATTAGAATCCAGATAGGATCTTTAAAACTATTACGTTCGAGTATACAAAACTCTGGAATACTTGATTTGGAACTTTGACTTTTATTTTTGCCTGAAAAAATAAAAGGCAATAATAACCGATTATTTTCTACTCGAATAAATAAAGGCAAATTTTAACTGTTATTTTTGCCTTAAAAAAATAAAAAGCAAAATTACCCGGTATTATTTGCTCAAAATAATAAAAGTCCAAAAATAACTTAAATTTTTCGCTTTTTATTATAAATTGAATAACCGGTACGGTCTCTGGTATGTACATATCGTCCCGTTTCTGCCTTAATCTCGTATCTGCAATAGAGGTATTTTAGAGAGTGTAAGAAAAAATGCTTAATTTCTTCCCCTAGGATACAATAATCGCATTTTTTACTTAATATTTCTGGTTCCACTAACAGTAGTGAGCACCCTCATTAAGTATTTGTTCTATTTTCAAATAGTGTGACGCTTAAACAGCTGTTATAGGTGGTAACATTAGTTTTCCCAAAAATTGTAGATACGTGGTTAAGGCAGAAATGGGACGATATATTGCATATCTATTACATGATTGTGTTTTTTCATCCGAAAGCATTTTAGGAATAATAGATATATATAGCGCGGGATGTCTGTTATAACTTTAGTATAAAACGGGATTTAGGTTATATTTGGACGGGATTTTATTAACCCAGTTACTGGCAATATTGGCCTATAAATCTCCTTTTCAAGAAATGATTGATTTTTAAACTCGGGTGCAAAATAGTTAAGCTGTTAAAAGATAAGTGCATCGAGTACGAAAATAAAGGTTTGTTTTTATTAAGATTAAAATTGAGGGTTCAGGGACTATAAGAAACCTATGTATTTTCATGTTGTAGTGACAATGTAGTTGACCGTACCTACAGCCTACACTATGTTTTGTTTCGGCTGCATTTCGTGATTTTTTTGTAGCACCGTGTTATTAGTTGTAATTATTTATATGTACATTCTCCTTATTGTCGCCTTATTTTTTGCGGGATACTAGTTTATGATGCCTGTTCGTCGATGTCTTAATTGCTTGACGAAATTGATCAACAAAATTATCAAAATTTGGCCTTTCTGATGCTTCTGTAAAAATGAAAAGTAAAACTATTCGTATTGCAGTGAAAAAACTCATTGACATAACTTACCAAATAATGCAGTAATTTCTTATTAAATGACTCCAATGCTTTTTTCTTATGCACCGTGAAAGTTATACTGGCTCAAAACGCTATTGATGTTGGCCTTTGTAGATAGTCGAACTATTTTTCGCATAAAAGTCACACACAGTAAAAAATAATAAAATATAATTAAATACACAGACTTTTTATTACTTATAATATTTACTGATAATATTTACGGTTACAACTGCTTCTTCCTCGGATAACTCGTTTTCTAATTTGTGTGATTCATTCTAACTTTTTAAAGGAAACATGACCTTGATTTTATTGGCATACAAGTCCAAGCTTCGTTTTTAAAGTAAGTTTGTTTCAGTCAACATTTTTGCCAGTTCACCTTGTCGATTTAAATATTTGGTCGATTTTAGGTTCAATGTTTACCAAATCTATAATTAAAAATAAAAACAAACTAATTATTTAAGATATTACTTAGGTTGGAAGTGAACTCAAAGTTACCTGAGGACATGAATACTATTTGTGGAATGCTCATTTTTGAATGCTGGAAACCTATAAAAAGATAAATACAAGTTAAACAAAGTTATGTAACATTGGCAAAATAACAAACTATTCTCACACGGTATGAAAATGGCTTTGCAATAGATTTCACTTGGATGTAATTCAAGCTAGTTTTCATTCATATCTCCATGCACGCAGAAATTTGTCAATCCCCGTAGTATTTTATAAACGATTTTTTCCCTTTAAATCGGTTAACCTTGCTAAAAGCAGAACTTTTGGTTACCGCGAAACTGTCTCTCCCAAAGGAGCTTAAATAGCAACAAGTTCTATCAAGAGACATCATCACTTTACCGTGTTTTATACGGTATTTGAAATTAACGTCTGCTATATTTTTTACAACTGAGGGAGCAATAGTAGACTCCGGACGGCACACAGTGTAAGATTTTACCCATCTATCTGCTTTTAATTCTGTAATTCGAAAACTATTGAAGATAG